GTCTACTTGGAAGAAAGGGGAACAGCATAAGCGGGATCTTTTGGACAATCCCAGACAGTGACAAAGTACACTCGGATAGACAAAAAAGTTGTCCTGCCAGACATATAGGGCAACTGTTGTGACTAAACTAAAACAGTTAGAAGCCGACAAAACCGCCAAAATTGTCGGCTATGGTATCGGCCGTCAGGTAGATTCCATCTAAAAATGAGACACATCTAGACACAGCCAAGACATAATAGAGGTTTATTGTGGCCTCAACCGTTAGGGTTGGGAAGTATATAAAAAGAAGAAGGCCCAAAGCTACAGCCAAGCCAGTCATGTCGATTCGTTGCATTTGACTCATATTTTCATCACATATTTCCATCCAGATTTACTGTGTCTTTAGTGACGACTAATAACAATGTGACCTATTGGCCTAATTTGTAAAACTGCCCCCTCGGATATTTTTCATTTATTCTCCTAGTCGCCGATAGTTTGAAGAAACAGTTGTTCTGTCATTTGTGCCTCTTGACCAGCTTCTACTTCGATGTAATGTCCGAATGACAGCTGTCTTGATTCGGCTAGCCTGGAAAGGATCCAAATGCGGCTAGTATCAGACTTCAGGTGGCCCCGTTCAAGGACTCTTCAACTCAACTTTCCAGGCCCAGAAGATCGATCTTGTTGTCAGAACAGCAAGACTTGCGCATTACCCGAAGGGCAAATATGCGTGTCACCCAGACTGATGCTGTATCAGCACACAAGCACAAACGCACAAACACACACCCACGCACACCCACGCGCACACACAAACACACCGAAATACTTGCCTCTGGGTGAGTCAAACGGTCTGATCCCAAATATTCCAAGGTCAGGCTCACTTGGGAAATGGATACCTGAGGCTCTGAAGCCTAGAAACTGCAGTCAACACCGGGTCTTTACGTCCAAAAGCTGGGCTGCCCGGCCGGATAATTAAGATGGAGTGTGATGCGATAGCCGAAATGAAGCACTAGGTCCAGCTTCTAGACACAAATGAGTCACAGAAGACCCTGCAACCAAGCCATCCAGAGCAAGTCACCTTGGCAGGACCGAAAAATATTTTGCTTTAGGGCTAGTCCCAAAATCAGGCTTCTTTCATTCCCAAAAGTCACCTCTATCCTAGCTTGTAGCGCCTAGGCATGGCAATTATGTAGGTCATAACGTTAGAATTAACGTTTTTCGTTTATTATTTCTCTCTGAACCTTTTATGTCACATCATGTCACGAACTTGTGCATGACCCAAGTTAGGCTAAGCCTAGCTAAAATGTTATAACAAGAGCATCAATTTTTACTTGAGTATATTTAGAAACCGTTAATATTGTTTATAATGACGAAATTTCAGGTAAATTTTTCCCAAATTTTATGAACTGGCTTCACGATGAAATTAAATTTCTCTTAGCATGGGCTCCAAAATATTTTT